GGAGCTGTCCTGGGGGAAGGAGCGGCATATCCCGAATTCTCCTCTGCTCTGTCTGCCAGCAGTCCGCCCGAGAGCCCGCCGGCTGCCCTGTTCGTAGGTGGGAGGGGGCATGGCGAGGGGTCCTTTGACTTCAGTCGTCCGCTCCTGTCCGCGCCCCAGCAGCAGGGTGGGCCTCAGAATCATTGTTGGATTAGGCTAGTATAGAACATGATTACGTTGTCTGCTACCAAACTTCAGAAAATAGCCCACCTATTTTTAGGAGAGAGATCGGCACAATGAATGTTGAGAATTAGAGGTTGATGACTGGTCTGGGTTTTTTTCATCGACAGTCCATACGCAGTGTGGAAAGAGTACCTATTACTATGTAAACCATAAATACCGCATGATACCTAGACCCCTTGAAAGCCGAGCCATTTTACCTCCCAGAACGTACGCAAATTGGTGTTGGGATGGTACTTGGTAAAAGAGCCCCTAGAACTGCACTCTTCTCTAACAGCCTTAGAGGGCTGCATAAGTCCTTCTGACGCCTAGTTCTTGGTAATGACCCATGACATCATGTTGGAGGAGGTATACCTGTCAAACTTTAACCACTGTTTTTAAGAACATTAAAGATCCAGGAGTGATTCAGTTATAAGTTGGTGAATGGTCATGCCAAAAACCGCCACTGTGCAGAGTCCGCTGTCCTGATGTTGGCAAGAAGCTGGGCAAGACGTCCACGCTGGTCATAGGACTTAGCTTCCATTATGGGCCAGCAACTAGGAACAGTGGATAATGCCTACTTCAGAAGGTATTTCTGGGGAGCAAAAGCTCTCATTCAAGACTCACTGCTCTTGGAAGAGATGTTAATCTATATTAAGCAACGAAACAGTGTGAAGATTTTGTAATAATCTTTAGATCACCCATTATACAAAGGCTCTTGTTGAATTATTAAGGCATTAGCAATTATTATTAACGCTGTTGAATTCGAGTAAGACTCCACTTTAGTTCCATCAGAATCCACTGAGCAAGCTTAAAGCCTATCTCATAGCCCGCTCCAGGCCTGCCCGGGCTGCCTCAGGACTCCCTGCAGATCAGCCACAGCTTCTGTGTCACTCTTGGCCCTACGTCAGGGATCCTCAGTAGATCGGTCACTACCCACTAGTTGCTTTTGGCCGGCCATTAAACTCACGGTGAGCTCTGCACTCTCCTCCTCATAGCTGCGGGAGGGACACACGTCCTGCATCTGCCTCACCAAGAACTTGGATGGCCACCAGGACATTGCTCAGGAAAGCTGCTCTATAAAGCGTCGGGCCCTGCACGCGTTATGATCAGTTCCCAGCACCCACCCAGTCCCCAGCGCCCTGGTGGCGTCTGGGGAACATCGCGTGGTGTCCTCGGCAAGTCAGACGGGCCGTCTCCGACGGCTCCTTCTTAGGCTCCTTTGCCGGCTCCTGTCTTTGCCAGCTCCTTCTTTGCAGATCTTCAAAGCACTGTCTAAGCCCCTTCTAGTCAGTTTCAGCTGTCACATCTGGGCTGCCAGTGCCACCACCCTCCTCACAGTCCTTCTAGCGGCTGCCTCGGGTCCTCTGGCTCAGCCTGCCCCACTTCTCGTCATGTGGAGTCCAGTTCCGTACCATTTCCCAATTCGTCTCAGTCTTCTCCTTCCCACAAGCTTAATTCAGGCCCTCGCCACCCCCTCTGTGCACTTCTGGGAGACTTGTCCCTCATCGGCCTGTTCCAGAGGTCTTTCTAAAACACAGATTGAGGCAAGGCACAGTGGCTCACACCTGTAATCCTAGCACTCTCGGTGGCTGAGGCGGGCAGATCGTTTGAGCTCAGGAGTTTGAGACCAGCCTGAGCAACAGCTAAAGACCCATCTCTACTAAAAAAATAGAAAGAAATTAGCTTAGACAACTAAATATAGTATGATACTCGATATTATATACATATATAGGTGTATATATGATTAGCTATATCATATATTAGGCCGAGGCATGGTGGTGCATGCCTGGGGTAGTTCCAGCTTACCTCGGGGGAAGCTGCAGCAGCGCAGGATCGCTTTGAGTCCAGGAGTTTGACGGGTTGCTGTGAGCGCAGGGCTGATGCCACAGGCACTCTAGCCCCGAGCAACAGGAGTGAGACTCTGTCTCTACTAAAAAAATAGAAAAAAATTAGCTGGACAACTAAAATATGTAGAAAAAATTGAGTTAGGGCATGTGCGTGTATGCCTGTAGCTCCCAGCTACTCGGGGAGGCTGACCCCGGCAGTAGGGATTGCTTGAGGGGGCCCAGGAGTTCGGACGGTTGCTGTGAGCGAGGCTGATGCCATGGCACTCTAGCCCAGGCAACAGCGTGAGAATTTGTCTCTAAATACAGATAAATTAAAAATAAAAACACAGATTTGAATCATCTCTCTCTTGAGCCCAGGAGTTTGAGGTTGCTGTGAGCTAGGCTGACGCCACTGCACTCACTCTAGCCTGGGCAGTTCTTTGGCCTTCAGGTCTTAGGAATTAATCTGAATTTATGGTTTCTAATTTGGCAATTAGTCTTTCTTTGACCCCAAGTTCAGACTCAATACCGTCACTGAGAGCCAGCCCAGGGCTCCAGCTGGGGGCTCAGAGGCTCCTGCGCGGCTAGCCGTGGTGAGGTGGCCCAGGCAGCCCTGGGGGAGGCCGCTTCTGCTTTGCTCACGTCTATGCGGCCTGTGCTGAGAGCGGGGCTGGCCGTAAGCAGGACAGCCCCCAGGGAGCTCCCGGGCTAGGGAGAGACGAGGACATAAATGTCTCCATGCCATGGTCAGGGCAGAGACAGAGCGCGAGGGGCGTGCGGAGGAAGGTCTCGGAAGAGAGGTCCTTCACCAGCCCGAGATTTAGGGAAAGTCCTGTTGACAGTGCTGACTGTTCCGTGGGCCCCGAGCCACGACTGAGCGCGTGGAAGGTCGGCTGGGGAAGAGGCGGGAGCGGAGCATGGCAGGTAGAAACCCCAAGCATCGGGGCGCAAGCTGTGGTGTGGCTGCTCGGGTGGTGGCACGACAGCGGGGCAGCGGTGTGAAACGGAGCACTTCACCTCTTCCGAGCCATTTCCTTTTTGTTGCCACTTCCTTGTCCCCTTTTAAGTGAAAGCTTATCAGGAGCCTAAAAATGATAATAGCTGACATATATTCGGTTTTTACTCTGTATCCGGTACTATTCTACCTGCTTCAAATTTATTAACTTGTTTAATTCTCAGTCCTTTGAGTAGATGCTCTTATTACTCCCATTTTACAGATGAGGAAACTGAGTCAGGGAGAGGTTAAGTAACTTGTCCAAGGTACATCTAGGGCCATGTGGTCTCTCATCTCTGCGTTAGCCGACAGGTGGCCTCTGTGGCCCTGGCTTCACCTGGTCACTCTCCGTCCAGACTAACTAGAGTGGTATTTGTAAATCACAGGGGTCGATCCGCAGGCTGGTACAGTGGAATTACCTGGGGCGTTTGCGGCACCACTGCAATCCTGAATCTAACGGGGTGGGTGACCAAGAATCTGAATTTGTTTTACAAACTCCCCAGACGAACCTGAGGCACAGTGACGTTTGGGGAACCTCTGGGCTGGAGTCTCTGAGGTGCAATTCCACATTCCTGCAGAGAAAACGGGAGTGAACAACAGGTCAGCTGGCCTAGGATGGCAACATTATTTGGTCTTTTGCTTAGGAGAACAGGCATGGGAGCAAGTTTTCTGTTGAGAAGGCCAGGGCAGATTCTCTAAGAAAGGACTGTGGGGGCCAGGCACAGTGGCTCATGCCTGTAATCCTAGCACTCTAGGAGACTAAGGTGGGAGGATCTCTTGAGGCCAGCAGTTCTAGGCCAGCCTGAGCAAGAGTGAGACCCATCTCTACAAAAAATCAAAAATTAGCCAGGCGTGGGGGAGCATGCCTGTAGCCCAGCCACTCAGAAGGCTGAGGTAAATGGATCGCTTACGGCCAGGAGTATGAGGTTGCAGTGAGCTATGACGATGCCACTGCACTCTGACCCCAGCGAAAGGGAAAGACTGTCTCAGAGGGGAAAAAAAAGGGCTGTACGGGTGAGTCCTTTCTCTAGGAATCTCTTGGCACCCAGTGTTCTGGGGGGAAACGTCTGCGTGTACCCCAAAGTATGCCACCCCCTTACCCAGTGTACAGAATAATATAACCTTAGCTCTGGCCGCAGTTACTTCCTGCGAGACCTCAGAAGCGGCCGCGGGTTCTGGGGTCTTGGTTCCTGGTCGGGCTCCCCCGGCCCAGGCCCGTCTCAGCTCCTCCCGCCTCACGGGGAGAGTGCAGCTCCTCTGCTTTTCACAGCGCTGCTCTGCGGACACTTTTCTTTCTCCTCACCCTCCAGCCCAGTGTCATCCTTAACTTTGGAAATCACTACTTCCCAAAGAAAAGCCCTGCATCTGTAATGTAAGAGATGGAGACACTTTTCCACTGATCTTGGCTGAGCTGAAGAAGAATCTAAACGTCTCGACACTCCTATGACACAGCCTGCAGAAGTGTCTGTAGAGCGCAGGGAGCAGTGGTGCGGTAGGTGACAGTGTGGGCACTTGTGATCCCTCGGCCCCCAGGTGGGGCTGCAACGCATTCTGCAGGGCAGGGCGGGGCGGGGCGGGGACTGTCAGGGAGGCCAGAGCCAGAGGCACTCGGAGCCCTGAAACGTGAAGGAAACCCAAGGCTGACACTCAGGGGAGTCAGGAAGGGCTGGGGGGTCAGAGCCAGGAGACGGGACCTAAGGAACTGGGGCTGGCGAGCGAGCGTTTGCTTTGCTCGTCCAGGCCCCTGGGCTTTCTGGCAGACAGAGGAAGCAGGGATTTGTTTAGTAAAGAATGAGTCACTGCATCTCCCAAGTATTCAACCAACATTATCCTCATAATCTTGCGTTTCGTTCATCAGTCTGTACAAAGTTACAGAGCTGATTCCATGTCCCAGCAGTTTTCCTTAGCACGAGTCTAAACTTTTAAGATTCTGATCAGGTGCCAGCTTCGCTGCCACTCTCCAACCTGCCTACAATGCCCCGTGGAATCCCTGCGCCAGTTTCAGCATCCTGCCCAGGTTCCGATTTCGCACGTGGTTTCCTGGACGGATCCTCCGTGATCCTGCAAGTAGTTTCAGATTACTAAATAACTCTGAGAAGGATATATGCAGTTTTGTTTCGTTAGATAATTATCAGCCTCCTACCAACAAGCATGCTAGATGTCACCCCGAAAACTTAAGTAAACATAACCTCTGCCTTGGACTTACTTCCAGGGTAAAGTATTTTGTAATTGGGATATGTTATGAATGATCGCTCAGTTTAACAATGTACCTTTTCCTCAGTAGCTCCCAGAGAAGTCATGTAATATATTAATATATATTTCTTTTTTAAATAGTCTATTAAAATTAATCTGATTATAAGGCCTCTTAGAGAATTTCACTTTGTCTCCTGAAGCTGTACTCGGAAATAGAACTGGGAATTACTCCTGTGTAGCAGCCTGGCGGGGTGTGATCGCCCAGCTCCGCCCTGGGACGGCCGGCAGGCACCGCGCGCGCTCACCCTCACTCAGGCTTCTCTTCGGCGTCAGAGAGCCGCGTGAGAGTGTCCCTGAGGTCTTTTCCACAACTAACATTTTGTGAGTCAGTAAACCATAATTGCCCTGCAAAAAGGTATGTACCTTGAATAGGGTTACAGACAAAATACAAGATGCCAAATTAAATTTTAATTTCGGGTAAACATTAATTTTTAAATGTTAAGTATGTTCCAAACTTCACATGGGACATAATTATACTAAAAAATTATTGTTCATCTGAAATGTTAACTGGCATCTAGTATTGGCAATTCTAACCCTAAAACTATTGCTTTTTATCTCATTTTGTGAAAGCCAATTTCACTACTTTCCTAATGTGACCTTTTATCCTTAGCCTGAAACAGGTTGTGAATATCAAGCTGGGCTTACTCCATTGCCTTACCTGTGAAATAAATCCCCAGAATTCAGTCAGCGTGGTTGCCAACAACCTGGTTCTAGGACTAGCTGCCGGGCCTGCGCCTGGCATCTGCTACGTACGTACAGCCTCGTTACTGACGCTTCGTCAGCGACCCTGACCCGGGCCGTATAGCCTGCGGCACCCACAGCACGCTTGGGTGGGGATTTTCATTTGCCTCTATTTGTTCTTATTTCATTGTTTTGGAATCTGTTTGCTTGAGATTCTCTCATCATTAGACACAAACAGAAACCTCCACTTAACCCTCCCCACCCCGTTACTGCCCTACTTCTCTCTCTGGTCCCTCACACTCAAGTATTATCGACACTCACGGTCCCACGCCCTCATCTCCATGCATCCCCCAAGGCCGTCAAATCTGGCTCGTGCAGTCCTCCCTCCTCTGTTATTGAAGCTCCTCTTTGTCAGGGTCATTGGCAACTTCCTGTTTGTGAAATGAGGGGGACACTTTCCGTCCCCATCTTACTGGGCCTCTCAGCAGCTCTGGTCAGTGGTGACCCCTCCCCTACCTGGAGGCTGCTCTTGGCTTCTGTAACAGCACCTGGCCCCAGTGGCCTCCTGCCTCCTGCCTTCCCTGGCCACTTGCGTCTGTCGCCTTCAGCCTCTCTATTTCATCTGCCTCGTCCTGGACGGATGCCAAAGGTTTTATCTCAGGTCCTTTCCTCATTTTCACCCTCATTTTCACCAAGCATATGGTTTTCAGTGTTTGATGTACATTCTGTAGTTATGATTGAGGCTGTTTACAAAACACCGGTGCCCCACTGAGCCAGGTTCATGTGAAAGTCAAGAGGAAACCAACCAGATGTGGTGACTCACGTCTGTAATCCTAGCACTTTGGAAGGCTGAGGCAGGAGGATCGCTTGAGCCCAGGAGTTTGAGGTTGCAGTGAGCTATGACGACACCACCGCACTCCAGCCAGGGCAACAGAGTGGAACCTTGTCTCAAAAACAAAAAACAAATGTTACTCCTATTGTATCTAAATTCAGTTCCCACTGTCCCTCTCTCTCTCCAGATTGTGATATCTCAGACAGATGTCTGCCAGAGGTGCTGCAGGGACCTCAACAGCACAGGCCAGTGAGTCAGTCATCAGATTATAGTAGCCTGGGAATGGGCGAATGCCAGCTTGAAGTGCACTGGTGTCTGCTTCCAGGGAGGCCCAGTCTAGTAGTGAAGCCGTGGCAGCAAGTGTTTCTAGCTAACGAGTTGCCCAAAGGCAGGCAAGTGGCCCTGCTGTGATTCTGGGTTGACCTTGTTTGGAGCTAGACCATAGCCAGCATCTAGGAGAGAACACTGAGTCAAGTACCAGGCTTGAATGTGCGATCGTGCCAGATGCTTTTACAGTCTTGACCTCCGGGGCCGGCTCCATTCTCAGTAAAGGAACAGACAAGTGAATCGAGGCAGAAGCCCAGGCACGTGGACTTGGAAAACCACAGGCGTTGTCGAGGGAAAGACTCACAGAGGCCTGAGATTCACCGTGGGTCCTTTGGATCCTGAGTCTAAAATATGCTTTCACGTTGGTAATTCTAGGCCTTGTCTGCTCCTGGGGATGAGTCCCACCAAGTGGCACCTGCATGGGCCATGTCAACTCCACACAAGGGGGCTAAGGAGGGGGCTAACCCCTGTAGGGCTGGAGGAAGAGGGTCAGCACAGATGGCCGAGCCTCCGTTGCCTAGAGAATGCAGCTGGTTTCCAACACAAAACAGGAGCAGGATTTGTTAGCTTTGAGTGATATATGGACATTTTTTCCTTCTAATTTAATTTTCTGTTTATGTTTAGCTTACATATAGTATTGGGTCCTTTTTGGCATTTTTTTCTTTTTAATAGGTTTAATATTTGAGAGCAGTTTTATGTTCACAGCAAAACTGAGCAGAAGATGCAGAGATTCCCAAACACCCTGTGCCCCACACAGCATGGCCTCCTCCACTATCGACATCCCTAACAGGAGGGCTGCCTTTGCTACGTTTGATCAGCCTACATTGACACGTCATTGTCACCCAAAGTGCAAAGTTTGCATTAGGGTTCACTCTGGGTGTCTTTAAATGAAAAAAATCTCAGGTACTCTGAGAAGACTCTGTGTCCCCACATGTGTAAATACAAGTGCTAAAATCACAGGAATGTGTTTATTTTAAGTTGTCAAGGAAATGATCATGACATTTTTCAGATTGTTATCTAAGTAAAACATTTTTCTAAGAACTCATGGACTCCTGAGATTTTAGCCCCAGGCTGTCAGGGATGCCCTGTGGCAGGCGCGCGCAGACTCGCTCTTGAGGCTCAGCGACGTCTTGCGCACCCACGCCCCCCTGAGCAACAGTAACGCAGCCCCATCTCTACGTAAAACCTCAGAAACGAAATTACGCTAGGACAACTAAAATACCGTACTTACGGTAGTAACACGTGATGACGTATAGCGCGCCGCGCGTCACCTTACTACCTCCCGTATTACTATATACGCTACTCCCTATATATCCCCCCAGCACCGTAGCCAC